GGACCCCCGCTTTCTTACACTCAATCTCGGTTACAGCTCCGCGCTCGCTCCGAAGGGCAGGTGCTGCGTCACGGGGAGGGGGGGGCGGCGCCTTTGGGGAGGGGGCGGCGCCTGGGAGGGGGGGAGAGGCTCGAGAGGAAGGGGCGCGGACATCCCCCTCCCCCTCCCCCACGCGCCTCCTCCCTCCCCCCCCCTCCAAGCCAACATAAATTTTTGCAATTTTGCAAAATCTGCAGCTTGCAAAAGGTGGGGTTTTGGGGGGTGTCGGGGGGGTGATGCACCCCTCCCCCAGGAATTCTGGGTGGGTGGGGGTCTCCCAAAGGTGTGCAGGGGGCTGCTCAAGACCATGCAGTCGTGCCCCTCCACCCCCCAAAAGGTGCCAGTTGGGGAAAAAGGAGAAATGTGAATTTCCCTGCATGGGTTCCCTTTTTTTGTGCCTTAACATTTATTTCAGGCAGTCCCCGACTTACAACGTTCCGTTTAGTGACCGAAGTTCCAGCGGCCCTGGAAAAAAAAGGGGGGGTGAGAAACGTAGCAGGGCCTGTTTTTTTTTCACGCTTAACGGCCGTCGCAAAACAAAACCTAAAATCAACTGGTCAAAATTCAGAGGTTTGGCAACTGACTCTCACTTATGACGGTTGTCCCCAGGAGGGTGTGTGTGTGTGTCATGTGATTCCCCCTTTTCTGGCCAGCTTCACTTAACAACCGTGGTACTAATTTAACCCCTGCAAGGATTCGCTGAACGACAGGCGGCGAGACAAGTCGAAGAATGGGGCGAACAAACTCCCCTAACCAATGTCTCGCTTAACAACGGAAATCAGGGGCTCAGTTTGGGTTGTAAGTCGAGAACTTCCTGTAGTGAGAATAAACCAATACAATTTTTCATAGTTTTATTTTTTTATTATTATTCCAGCGTATGTATGTGGTGGATTTTTTAAACTTTTCATACTTTTTTGCCTCACATATATAAATATACATATTATTTTGATTATCCTATTGATGTATTCCCCTTATGTTCTTTTTTTTTTAATCGTTTAGGTTATTATTTCTATTATTTTCTCGTTTCGTCCTTCTTATTGTTGTAAGCCAGGCAGCAAATAAATTTAACAACTAAGTAAAATCTGAAAAACCGGCCTAAGTAATGCTGAAGTTCTGGGGGGGGGGAAACTACATTTCCCAGAATTCATTGAGAAAAAGGTCCTCTGGAATCCACTTCCGGGTTTCACAAACATGGCTACTTCCGGGTCTGTGGGACTTCAACTCCCAGAATTCTCATCATGGCTGTGCAGGCGGAGGAATGTTGGGAATTGTAGTCCGCCGAAGGGCAGATTGGGAAACGTTGGGCTACGGATACGGGGTTTAGAATTTTTTAAATTTTATTTCATTTTTCGTGGTTCTACAGTTGGAAAAAAAACAATTTGCAAACCAGAACACGGGTAGTCCTTGACTTACGACCACCACACAGAGGCCAACATTTCTGTCGTTAAGTGAGACATTCGTGTAGGAGTGTTCTGACCCCATCTTACCGCCTTTCTTTGGGCACCGTTGTTAAGCAGATCTTTGCCAGTGTGCGGTCATTAAGCAAACCCGGCTTCCCTGTTGACTTGGCCGGTCAGAAGTTCGCTAAAAAGGGATCATGTGACACCCTCTCCCCGGGGGGGGGGGATGCTGCTACCGTCGTAAATGCGAGTCAGTTAACAAGCATCTGAATTCTGATCACATGACACTGCGGGGATATACAGCAAAGGTCATAAGGGTGAAAAACGGTCATAAGGGTGAAAAACATTCCTTTTTTTTTTCAGTTGACCTCGTAACCGGTCACTAAACGAACTGTTCTAAGTCGAGGACTGCCTGTATAGAACTACTCATTCCACAATCGCAGCTGCCAGTTCGGCGTTCGATCACTTGCGACCGTCATAAAGACGAGTCAATTGTTCTAATATGGATCACGTGACCCCCCCCGGGGATGGTGGAACGGTCGTACGTTTGGGGGAAAAAAAGGGCCTTACTCGCTTTTTTGGAAACTTTGAACGGTCGCTAAGCGAGCTGTCGTAAGTCGAGGACTCCCTCTATCCATCTTTCTCCCGGTACGCGACAGGTAAGGGGTTCAAATGCAGACATTACGGTGACTATTTCACCTCCTCTCCCTCCGTAAACTTTCAGCTACCCTATTTTAGGACCTGAATTTAATACTCTCTTAAAATAGCAGGGGTCACATTTTCAAAAGTCCACCGACCAGCATGGCACGGGGGTCTGGTCGTTTATTACAGCTGGTCCTGGATTTCATTTAGTGACCATTGGAAGTTACAATCATCCTTTTCTTTTAACGACTCCATAATCCCTTGCGGAGTGGAGTCTTGGGCAAGTGAATGGAGTTGAGTGTTTACTGGCCGGATGCCTTTCTTGTTGCCAGCGTGGAGTTTTTTATTCAGCAGATATATTCTCATTGTGCCCAGAGAGAGAGAGAGAAAGAGAGAGAGAAATATCTGCCTGTACCTAGGATCGAACTCACAGACCTCCCGATGGTGAGTCGAGAGCTCCACCTCCAGGCCACGGAAGTTACAACGGCCCTGAAAAGACCATTCTCATGACAGTCGCAGATTGTGTCCTGGCTGGGATCAAGCGATTTCCCGTTTTGCAAACCAAGGAGAGAAGCAACCTGGAATTGAGGAGAAACTTCTTCAGTGGGGGCAATTAACCCGTGGAACTGCTTGCCACTAGAAGTTGTGGGTGCTCCATCAACTGGAAGTACTTAAAGAAGAGATTGGACAATTGTCTGAAACTGTATAGAGTTTCCAGCCTGAGCAGGGGGTTGGACTAGAAGACCTCCCAGGTCCCTTCGAGCTCTATTCTGATTGAATATAATGGTTTAACTTTCCTGCCTGAGCACAGGGGGTGGACTAGAAGACCTCCCAGGTCCCTTCCAGTTTTATTCTGATTGATTGAGTGGGGGGCTTGGATTTGAATTCCCAGAATGGGACGATCAATACCCCTTGGGTAAGCATAAGAAATCTTCTCAAAAACTTTCCGGAGACCCCGATGCAGAGACCCCCTGACTCACCCGAAGTGTGAAAACACCGTCTCTCTCTCTCTCTCTCAAAGGTTCTTTTTTCAAGAGGCAACTTTTCTTTCTTTTTTGAATTTTTCTTTTTTTTCTTCGAAGACCTTTCGCTTCTCATCCCAGAAGCTTCTTCAGTTCTGACCGAATGGTGGGAGGGGGGGGAGGAAAGGGAAGGATTTATTCTCCTTGCAGACAGAGCTGGTCATTTGCATCCTTTTTTAGTGGGATATTCTGCAAAGAATATTGATCCTTCCCTTCCCTTCCCTTCGGTCAGAACTGAAGAAGCTCCTGGGATCAGAAGCGAAACGTCTTCAGAAGGGAAAAAAAAACACAAACAAATAAGAAAGTCTAGTTAACTCTTTTGGGACTAACTTGGAGTTTGACTTGGAGGATGGAGACCCTCCGAAGACATTTGGAACAGCCTCCTCCTGCGCCCGATCCTGGCGCGACCCCTTACCCCCAATCTGGGTTTTGGGGGAGGGGGGTCGCAGGGGCTTCCCTGCCTCAGCATCAACCAAAGGGGCTTTTTTTCGCCCTTCGGCACCCCGTGTTGGGGATGACGAAGACGTCACAGCTGCGGGGGGGGGGTCCGCCCACGCCCCCCAACCGCCCCCCCAACCCTCTCCGCCGCTGAGGTCGGGGGTCTCGCGACGCCGGTTGAGAAAACGAGCCCGACCAGACCCAGCTCAGCCAGGAGCTGGAAGGGACCTGAGAGGTCGTCTAGTCCATCCTCCTGCTCAAGCAAGAAACCCCAGACCATTTCAATCAATCAATCAATCAATCAATCAATGCTTGAATGAAGTGCTGATCGATCGATCGATCGGTTGATTGCAATGGTCTCTAGGACCTAGGGGTTCTCCTGCTTGAGCAGGGGGTTGGACTAGAAGACCTCCCGGGTCCCTTCCAGCTCTATTCTGATTGATTGATTGATTGATTGATTGATTGATTGATTGAAAAGGTCTAGGGTCTCCTGCTTATAACGGGGTTGGACTAGAAGACCTCCCAGGTCCCTTCCAGTTCTATTCTGATGGATAGATATATGGATGGATGGAAGGAAGGAAGGAAAAAATGGAGGGATAGTAAGTATACTGTAGATAATACCATAGAGAGAGAGAGAAAGGGGAGATAAAGAAAAAGAAGGAAGGAAGGAAGGAAGGAAGGAAGGAATGAAGGAAGGAAGGAAGGAAGGAAGGAAGGACTGACTCTGGAATGATGTAGGGTCTCCTGTTTGAACAGGGGTTGGACTAGAAGACCTCCAAAGACCCCTTCCAACCATGTGATTCTATGATTCTGAGATAGATAAATAAGATACAGGATGGATGGATGGAAGGAAGGAAGGAAGGAAGGAAGGAAGGAAGGAGAGGGAGGGAGGGAGGGAAGGAAGGATGGATGGATGGATGGAAGGAAGGAAGGAAGGAAGGAAGGATGGAAGGAAGGAAGGAAGGGAGGAGAGGGAGGGAAGGAAGGAAGGAGAGGGAGGGAGGGAAGGAAGGATGGGTGGAAGGAAGGAAGGAAGAAGGAAGGAAGGAAGGAGAGGGAGGGAAGGAAGGAAGGATGGAAGGAAGGAAGGGAGGGAGGAGAGGGAGGGAAGGAAGGATGGATGGAAGGAAGGAAGGAAGGAAGGAGAGAGAGGGAGGAGAAAGAAGGAAGGAAGGAAGGAAGGAAGGAAGGAAGGAAGGAAGGAAGGAAGGAAGGAAGGAAGGAAGGAGAGGGAGGGAAGGAAGGAAGGAAGGAAAGAAAGAAAGATATTAGAAGACTCACAAATGCCACAATTCAACCTCGAGCTGTGGAAATTCTTCTGGTCCCCTTTGGGGATTCCGGGTGATAGTCGGTTACCTCCCCCGGGGGGGAAGTCTGTAGGGGCAAAGAGGGGGGTCCCGCCCCGCCCCACCCCGCCCCGCCGGCCCCCTTGGCCTCTTAGCCCCGCCGGCCCCGTCCAGAAGCGAGGAGTCCGCGTTGGAGAAAGACCCCCGACCCTCTCTCCCATGGAGATGCTTTATTGCGCGCTGCTGTTGCTGCTCTGGACGGGAGTTTTTTGCAAGAGCTCCTGCCCCAACGGTAAGCCGCGGCGGCGAGGATGCTCCCACCTGGGTCCGGTGATGGGGAGAGACCCCTGCCCGTTCCCCCCCCCACGGGACGGGAGACCCCCTGATTCTTCCTCCTTTCCCCTTCCAGGCACCTTCAGCCCCGGGCCAAGCGAGTCTTGCCGGCAATGCAGCGTCTGCGACAGTAAGTTAGACTCTTTGGGGGCGGGGGGGCTGAATTCCCTGGGGTGGGTGGGTGAGTGGGGGGGGGGTCTCAGCCCTGGGGAAGCGGGTGTGGAAGGGGAGGGGGCTGGCGGAGGTGGGGGAGCGTTCAGATTTTGGGAGGCTACCTTTCCTCGGCTTGGAGTCACGGTGGCTGGGTTCCCCTCGTGGAGAGGGAAAAAAAAGAAAGTCGGAAGGGGCCTTAGAGGTCTTCTAGTCCAACCCCCTGCCCAGAGAGGAAAGCCTAAACCATTTGAGACCAAACGGCTGTCCAATCTCTTCTTAAAAACCTCCAGTGTGGGAGCATTCACAACTTCTGGTGGCAAGTCATTCCGCTGATTAATTGTTCAACTGTTAGAAAGAATGCAGAAATGACAGAGTTGGAAGGGGCCTTAGAGGTCTTCTAGTCCAACCCCCAGGTCAAGCTTCCCCTTAATTCTAGGTTGCTTCTCTCCTTGATGAGTTTCCACCTGTTGCTTCTTGTCCTGCCTTCTTTGGTGGTTTGAAGAATAGCTTGACTGCCTCTTCTTTGGGGGCAGCCCCTGAGAGATTGGAAGACTGCTATTCTGTGTCTCCCCCTAGTCCTTCTTTTCGTCAAACTTGCCTGGCCTAACTCTCCTCTTTTAAATTTTTAATTTGTGTGATTTTATAAATTGGGTGTTTTAATCTGTGTTTCGGCCAAAATATTTAATAATTTTAAGGGATTTTTTTAAATATTTGTATTATCTGTATTTTATCTTGGCTGTTCACCGCCCTGAGTCCTTCGGGAGTAGGGCGGTATAGAAATTTGATAAATAAATAAATAAATAAATAAATAAATAAATAAATAAATAAATAAATAAATAAATAAATAAATAAATAAATAAATAAATAAATAAACTAGACATACCTAATTCCAGCAACTGTTCTTTTTATATATATATATATATATATTTAGCCTCCAATTCCCAACTCCCAGCTGAGGACAGGAGCCTCCTACCCGATTCCTATCTTCTTTTCCTTGCCCTACTCCTCGCTTTACGACCTCCACTTACAACAGTCCATTTAGTGACCATTCAAAGTTACACCATCACTGGAAAAAAAAAAGAGACTTGCGACTGTTTTTTTCACACTTACGACCGTCGCGGCTTCCCTGTGATCAGAATTCGGATGCTTGACAACTGACTCGTATTTATGACGGATCGCAGTGCCCCGAAGGGGGGGAGGAGTGACATGTCTTTCCCCTTTTGCGACCTTCTGAACAGCCAAGTCAGTGGGGGGGGGGGCAGATTCACTTCACAACCCTTGTGACTCGCTTAACAACGGTGGCAAGAAAAGATGTTCAAACGGGGTGAAACTCCCTGAACAAACATCTCACTTTACAACCGACATTGCGGTCGCAACTCGAGGACTTCCCGTAGGTTTTTTTTTCCCCCGGGCGGTGGCTTAACTTGGAAAAGGGGTCTGGAATTGTGCAGCAAAGTTTCGATTAGACTCCAAATTGGGACTTTTTTGGGAGTTTATTTCCCTTAACCAAATATTCTTCGGAGTTTATGGAAACATTAGCAAAGAATGCTGGCTAGATCCCCTCCAATCCTGGTTACCCGGCAAGTTTGAGCTCAGCTCAAAGGGGAAAATCGCCTTCTCTACAGATAATAACATGTTTGTTTGTTTTTTAAAAATATTTTAACCCTGAAGGAACTTTGGTCTACAAGCAAAAATGTACCAAAACTACCGACGCTATTTGTGAATGTGCTCGGGGTTATTCGTGTGGCCAAAATTGCGAGGCGTGTGAGTGTCCCCTTGGACAGCAACGCACGATTACAGGTACGGTGACTCTGCGCAGGTGATTCCCCACTTACAACAGCTTGTTTAGCGACCGTTCCAAGTTACAACGGCACCGAAAAACGGGACTTCGCGCCGTTTTTCACACTTTACGACCGTTGCATGATCAAAATTTGGATGCTTGGCCACTGGTTCATATTTATCATCATCTCCTTTTAATGACCCCCAATAATCCCTTGCATCGGGGTGGAGTCTTGGGCAACTGAATGGAGTTGAGTGTTTTACTGGCCAGATGCCTTTCCTGTTGCCGGTGTGGAGTTCTGTTCATCAGATAATATTCTCATTGTAAACCAGAGAGAGAAATATCTGCCTCTACCTAGGATCGAACTCACAGCCTCCTGATTGGGAGGTGAGAGCTCCACCTCTAGGCCACTGCACCACTCACTGGTTCATATTTATGACGGTTGCAATATCTCAAGTCTACTCACCCAGGATACTGCAACTGTCATAAATGTGTGTGTGTGTCACACAATTCCCTTTTGCGACCTCCTGACCAGCAAAGTCAAGGGGGATTCGCTTAAGAACCGTCTTACTAACTTAACAATTGCAGTGATTCGCTTAACAACGGCGTCAAGAAAGATGGCAAAAAGAGGGGAAAAAAAACTCAGTTAACAACTGTCTCGGGAGGCCATAGAAATCTTTTGGCTCCGTTGCAGTCGTAAGTCGAGAACTACCTGTAGCTCTGAATCTCCCGGAAAACCGACTTATCTAACGATGGGGACAGAAGTTCTCCTGAACATCAGCAGTTGTGCGATTTGCCACTGTTGTGTGTGTGTGAATGTGATTTATAAACCTCCGAAGCCGACTGAGATGGACCAAGGCAGGAGAAAGATGCAAGAGAAATAAATTGAAAGGAAGCTGCAGTTAGAAAGGAGGTCTCCATCGATTTGATAGCCAGAAACTCATCCGGACATCAAACCTTCTTCTGTGTTTTTCAAGGTTGTCAGAAGTGTCCGGAGAAGACTTTCAATGATCGACCTACAGGTGAATGCAAGCCATGGAAAAAGTAAGTTCTTCCGGAATAAATTGATTTTAAAATCTCAGGTATAAAACACGAGGCTAACTACCAATTCCTGCAGGTGTCCAGGTGATAAGATTCGGGAACCGGGGACCAAGGAGAGAGATGTGGTTTGCTGGAGTGAGTCAGAAATCCCCACCACCAAGCCCTCCACTTCTCTCGCTGTCTTCTCTACTAAGGCTTCAGGTAAGTCTTATTGGAACATTTATTGATCTCATTAACTGTTTAATCCAGCCTTTCTCAACTTTTGAAGATGTGTGGACTTCGGTTCCCAGAATTCCCCAGTCAGCTATGCTGGGAAATTCTGGGAAGTGGGAATTTTGGGAGTCTTAAAAGTCACCAAGGTTGAGAATCAAAGGGCTGCTAGAAACCCCAAATAAGCAGCACATAGGCAAGGAGCCGAAACTGACAAGATTAGCTCAGACAAACAAAAACGCTTCCAACGCTGGGAAAGACTGAGGGTAAAGGAAGAAAGGGACGATAGAGAAGGAGGTGGCTGGATGGAGTCACCGAAGCAGTTGGCCTGAGCTTCAATGGACTCCAGAGGATGGTAGAGGACAGGAAGGCCTGGAGGAACGTTGTCCATGGGGTCGCAATGGGTCGGACACAACTTCGCAACTAACAACAACAAGAACCAGTCAAGGAATCTGGCAACAGCCATTAAAATATTATATGAACTGGACATCTCAATCACAAATTGAATAAAAGCCCATCTACTTTCCACCGCAATTTGTCAGCCACCCCAGAAACGTGTTGCCGTCCCTGTTATTTCTGGTTACCTAGTTAATGAAAACCTCCTTTCCAATTGCAGCCTGCCTCCAATTCATTTCTCCTGCATCTTTCTCCCGGCTTGGAATAAGAACCAGATTAGATTTTATTTCCAGCAGGACTCCCATCCAATCCGTGGCTTTGAATAGCGAGACGGGAGACGTATCAATTAAAAGAAAAAAAAAAAAAACCAGAATAAATTCTGAAAAATGTCACTGCTTCCACTCTGGCTTTCATTGGCCTCTTGTATGAATATGCCTCTTTTTTTCTGAACTCTTATTATCATTTTATTTTTATATTGACTGTGAAACCCCAAAAAGAGTCGGCTTTTTTTGGGTTGTGTTCCCAGAAGACGGGCCATCAGGTCAAAAATTTGTAAGCCATCGCTCGTTTGTTCGTTGTTTTTCTCAGCTCATTTATTTTTACCGTAGAATCTATGGATTCTGCTTTATTTATTTTTTTAGTTTCTTGGCCCGTTGGACGAATCCCAAAATTAATTGACCGACGTACTTTGGCCAAAGTTAAAATTGGGGCACCCGGAAAGATTGCTAAATAAATATATAGCTGGTTCAATATATAACAGTTAAATCAATGTATAAAATGTTTTACGGATGCAGATTTACGAATGGCGCACCTGGTACGTTTGGCCATTATTAAAAAAATAACAAAAACTTTAGGATTGAGTTTAGTTTAGTATTGAGTCTTGAGCATTGTTAAACTAGTTAATGTGTAGTATTGAGTTTAGTATTTACCAATCGAACATTATTAAAACCCTTACTTTAGGGTTTAGTATTATTTACTTTCATATTGAGCGTTGAGTACCGGTATTATTAAAACAAGTACTTTAGGATTCAGTGTTGGGTTTTCTTTAGAATTTAGCATCGAACAAATTGCTTTAGCATTCGGCCTTGAACTGCAGTGTTTAGCGTTGACCAATATTAAAAGAAATTATTTTAGGATTTAATATGGAGCATTAGCAAATGAAAAGAAGTACTTTAGGATTCAGTCGTGGGTTTACTTTAGAATTTAGCATCGAACAGTATTCCATAAATTGCTTTAGCATTCGGCCTTGAAGTTCAGAGTTTAACGTTGACCAATATTTAAGAAATTATTTTAGGATATGGAGTATTAGCAAATTTTGAAGAAGAGATTGGATAACCATTTGTCTGAAGTGGTGTAGGGTTTCCTGCCTAAGCAGGAATATTTCTATTTCTATTTCTATTATTTCTTGTCAGACTTCGATGCTATCTCAAAATAAATGAATTTCCAAACTGCCAATCTTTAAGGAAATCTTTTCTTTAATTGAGCACAGCCACCGGATCATGACTCGATGCGGACAAGACTGACCTTTTGCCCCCACAATCCCTCCCTTTCCGATCCCCAAATCTCTGCTTCTCATTGGCTATCTTCCAAGTCAATCTTCAGACTTCTTGTCTCGTCATTTCCCAGGAATGTCCCCCCTCCTCATTTCCACGACACCCCGACTTCAAAGGGATTTAGCAGGCAAAAGTTCAGAGCTTATCTCTCTCTCTCCTCTGCTCTCTATGCCAGCGTTGAACCGCTGACATCTCTATTATTTCTATTATTTCTATTTCTATTATTTCTATTATTTTTCTATTATTTCTATTTCTATTATTTCTATTTCCTTATTTTCCAAAGCATCAGAAAGCAGCACAAGAAGCCATGGATGGAAACCAATCCAGGAGAGAGAGCAACCTGGAACGAAGGAGAAATTTCCCTGCCTCCCTTCCACTGTTCCTAGTGTCAACCTTTGAGTGGAGTGCTAAAAGCTATTTGCAGCCATGGCCATTTTAATTTAGCTTTTCTGAGTTGAAGTCCTGGGATATTTCTGATTTTTTTTCCCCTTGCTTTCTTGTAGAGGAGGGGAAACAATTGATCCTCATCACCACTGCTTTTGTCATCACTGCCTTTCTGTTTGCCACGTGCATGGTGTTGGCCTACCTTTTCTTCCGATCCTGGATCCAAAAGAAGCCCCCGAAACGTAAGGACTTTTTCCTGCTCTCTCTCTTTTTTTTTTTGGCCAGCAGTACTCTGCCAACTCTCCCTCTCTCACTGCTTAGGACCTCCTACGCCAACTCGCCACTGGATAATTCACCACAGCCAACTTGCCGTGGGAAGAGTTACACTAATATCAGAGAAATGGTGGAATGGAAACCATGAAAGGATGCAAAAGGAAGGACAAAATGAAACGCGATTGACAAAAATGAAAAATAATTATTATCAAACTATTTTAAATAATTAAATTGAACTGTTGAATTGTCCCGCAGTGAGTTGCCCTGTGGCCAGTTGGCTGTATTGAGTTGACCATGGGGAATTGGCTGTGTTGAGTTGACCATGGCAAGTTGACTGTGTTGAGTTGACCATGGGGGAGTTGGCTGTGTTGAGTTGACCATGGCAAGTTGACTATAGTGAGTTGGTCATGGGGAGTTGGCCATAGTGAGTTCACCGTGATGAGTTGGCCATGGGGAGTTGGTCATGGTGAGTTGGCCTAGTTGAGTTGGCCATGGTGAGTTGGCCTAGTTTGAGTTGGCCATGGGGAGTTGGCCTAGTTGAGTTGGCCATGGGGAGTTGGCCTAGTTGAGTTGGCCATGGGGAGTTGGCCATGGGGAGTTGGCCTAGTTGAGTTGGCCATGGGGAGTTGGCCTAGTTGAGTTGACCATGGTGAGTTGGCCTAGTTGAGTTGGCCATGGGGAGTTGGCCTAGTTGAGTTGACCATGGTGAGTTGGCCTAGTTGAGTTGGCCATGGGGAGTTGGCCTAGTTGAGTTGGCCATGGTGAGTTGGCCTAGTTGAGTTGGCCATGGTGAGTTGGCCTAGTTGAGTTGACCATGGGGAGTTGGTCATGGGGAGTTGGCCATGGCAAGTTGACTATGGGGAGCTGACCACAGTGAGTTCACCATGATGAGTTGGCCATGGGGAGTTGGCCCAGTTGTGTTGGACATGGCAAGTTGACCATGATGAGTGAGTTGGCCATGATGAATTGGCCAATGGTGAGTTGCCCCATTCCAAAGTCTTGGGATTGGTTGGCGTGCCAGTGCAAGAATTTTGTGTTGGGTCTCAGTTCTCCCGCTTCTTCTGCTCCACAGCTTCCCATGGGCAGTTAGCTCAAGAGGTAGATGACTGCACCTACAGATACCCCGAAGAAGAAGAAGGAGGAAGCTGTGAAGCACCTTCCAGTCTCAAAGGGGGCCTTTTGGAATAATATTCATAAGATGTATCACTCGGGGTCAAAGAGCCAAGAAGGCTTCTGTGACCCCCCCCAAACGACCTCAAAGCATTTGAGCAACTCTGCTTTTGAAAGAATCCCTGACACCTTCAGAAGATGCCATTGAAGAATCGCGTTTAACCTCTTTAAACGGGTTTATCTCTTCACGGAACTGGGCTATCGCCTCGATGGCCCTTGATTTGATCTTAAAACAAAAACTCAACACAACACAATGGGACACATTGGGATGATTTTTGACAGGGGAAGAGGGTTGTTGTTTAGATGGCCGGAAGGCGACAGGAAAAATACCCCATGGCTCAATCCTCATGCAAAAATAAAAACACGGCGTTGAAGCAAAGTCCCCTCCGTCGCAAATCGTGTTCAGTTGAACAGCAAAGGAAGCTCTTGAGAATCTGGCGGCCTTCCAAAAGTCCGGCATTCTTGACTCCCTAAAAGCTCATTCATTTCAGGGACGTTTTGTGGTTTTTAACCCACTCTTTTTCGATAGCCTATCAGACATCTTTTAGGTACGACATTCGGATTATCGTAATTGGCGATCGCTTTCTCACATACGGAAAAACATCCTCCCAGCTGCCGCCGAGGTTCTTTTTTTTTTTCATTTTTGATTCAGATTAAAAATGACTCATCGGGCGTCCGTTCCTTGACGCGAATGAACTTTGCTGGTGACGCCGAGTGGAAATATCTGAGATGAGGTGGGCTGGTGGCTTTTCATCTCTCTCTCTCTCTCTCCCTGCCCCCCACCCCCACCCCAAACCTTGATTCCCCCTTGCCCCCCCCCCCCCCCATGCTTTGATCTCGTGGGCTCTGTGCGCACCAGCGGTGAAGACGTCAATATGATAATTCTAGGATGATATTTCTCTATAGATGCACCAGCCAGCCAGCTGTGGCTTTGAACTTCTGAAGTTCTTTTGAAGTTCTGAAGGTTTCCAGAGGTAAAAACCCCTTTCCCAGGTAAACCCCACAGCTAAATTTTGTCCCCGAGAGATCTGTCTCGTTTGCTACCAAGGGAGAACTTCAAATGCAGGTAGACCTCCTCTTACCACAGTCCATTTGGTGTCCAAAGTTACGACACCATCATTGGAATAATAATAATAATAATAATAATAATAATAATAATAATAATAATAATAATAATGGCTGTTTTTCACACTTGCGACCGTCGTAGCATCCCCTGCGTGTTCATGTAACCGAAATTCAAAGGCTTGGCTACAGATTTATGGAAGTCACTCAATGAACTGTTGTAAGGCGAGGTTTACATTTAGCGACCGTTGAAAGTGATGTCATTTGGGAAAAAAAAAAAGGACCGTTTCCCCACACTTATGACCGTTGCGGCATTCCAGGATCCAAATTCACGGGATCCAAATTGCGACGGACTCGTAGTTACGACAGTGGCAGAATCCCGGGGTCACGCAATTCCCCCCCCCTCTTTTTTTGCGACCGTTCGACGAGCAAAATCCGTGGGGAAGCTGGATTCACTTAACGACTGGGCGGCTAGCTTTTTAACAATTCGCTTAAACACGGTTCGCAAGAAAGTTCGTAGAACAGGACAAAACTCACTTCATAACGGTCTCGGCTGAGCGACGTTAACTTTTGGGCTCAGTTGTGGTTTTAAGTCGAGGACGAGCCGTGCATAAATTGTGTCCCAGAATTTAGATTTTAAAAAGGATCCTTACAGTACAGGATGGTTATTTTGCTGGGTGACGTAGAGAACAGGTGCATCCCCACTCTGAAGGGATGAAAAACAGCCACAAAACCACATTTGACAATATAAAGGGCGTAGGACTCAAGTTATCGGGGGCGAGGGCCAGAGGGAGGAGTGTTTTGGTAAAAGTCGGTTCAAAAAGAAACAAGAAGATCAATCTATTTGCTTGTCATATGTATACCAAGAGCCCCCCTCCTCCGTCTGCTGGGAAGCCCACCCCCCCTTGCAAAACTCCGTCAATCCACGTTTTCTTGAAATTTTTAAGACTGCTTGGAACCGAGTTGCAATGGTGAGATCCAATTCTGAGAAGATTGGGCGCTCGAAATGCGACAGCACCGGGAAATGCCAGGCAAAAGTCATTTCTGAACCTGTAACGTAAAACAGAACTCTCTATTGACCTTCAAAACTGACACTTTAGCAAGGACTTTATTCAAAACATGCAGAGAGAGAGAGAGAGAGAGAGAGAAAGAAAGAGAGAAAGAAAGAGAGAGATAAAGAGGTAAAGAGAAAGATGAGAAATAAAAAGAATTATATATATGTATGTATGTATATATACATACTCAGAAAACAACCTCAGAAAACAACCAAATATATATATATATATATATATATATATATATATATATATATATATATGAGAGAGAGAGAAAGAAAGACGTAAAGAGAGAGATGAGAGAGATAAAGAGAGTTATGTGTGTGTGTGTGTGTGTGTGTGTGTGTGTGTGTTTTCTAAGGTTTTCGCGGGTGTTTGTATGTAGGTCTTTGGATATATATAGAGAGAGAGAAAGAAAGAAAGACGTAAAGAGAGAGAGATGAGAGACAAAGAGAGTGAGATAAAGAGAGAGAATATATATATATATGAGAGAGAAAGATAAAGATAAAGAGAGATAATAAAAAGAGTGAGATAAAGAGAGTATATATATATATATATATATATATATGAGAGAGGGAGGGAGAGAGAGAGAGAGAGAAAGAGAGAGAAAGAGATGATAAAGAGAGTGAGAGAGAGAGAGAGAGAGAGAATATATATATATATGAGAGAGAGTTAAAGAGAGAGATGATAAAGAGAGTGAGAGAGAAAGAGAGATACAGAGAGAGAGAGAGAAGGGAGGTGCATAAATTAATAAATTGCCAACGGTCACAAGTCAGATAAAGGCTATTTGCACGAGGATCGAGTCGCACAAGAGTATAGGTCGTCCTCGGGTTACGACCGCAATCGAGCCCAAAATTTCTGTGGCTAAGCGGAACATTTGTCAAGTGAGTTTTGCCCGATTTTACGTCCTTCCTCGCCACCGTGGTTAAGTGAATCCCTGCAGGTGTTAAGTGAGTAACCCGGTTGTTAAGTGAATCTGGCTTCCTCGTGGACCTTGCCTGTCAGCAGGTCGCAAAAGGGGATGACACAAACCTCCGGATGTTGCAACCGTCATAAGTACATGCCAGTTGCCAAGCGTTTGAATTTCGATCACGGCATGAGCATGGCGATGCTAGAAAAGTCATAACTACGAAAAATAATCTTAAGTCCCTTTTCTTTCAGGGCCGTAACTGTGAACGGTCACTAAACGTTGTCAGTCAAGGATCTCCTGCTCCAGCAGGGGGCTGGACTAGAAGACCTCCAAGGTCCCTTCCAACTCTCTTCCGATTCTGACTACCTCTCTGGTTTAATTTGTGCGATCCGGTGCAACCTGGCCAGAACTGCGTGTGTCTCTGGTTACGGTAAGGCCGTGATGGCGAAGCAATGGCACGCGTGCGAGAGATGGCACATAGAGCCCTCTCTGTGGGCACGAGCGCCGTCATTAGCTGCTCATTAGGTTTCCGGTGTGCCGGCCAGCTGGTGTTTGCCGGTGCCGGAGTGCTGGAAAACGGCCTCAAAATGGCCAAAAATGGCCAAAAAACCAGACCATTTTGGGGGCTGTTTTCCAGCCGTTTCTGGGCGGGTTTTTTGAGCCGTTTTTCATTTTTCAGTTTGGGCACTCGGTGCCGAAAAGGTTCGCCATCCCTGGTGTAAAGAGTCCTGGGAAAATAATGGAAATATTTGAAATGTAGAAGCAATTAAAAAAAACACACACACAAAAGAGGAATATTTGAGCCACTGATAGACTAAACTTCCCTCTCTGAAAAAGCCCGTTTCCGTTTTGGTTATTATTGGGTTGTTTTGTTTTTTAAACTGAAGCTTTTTGCGTTCATTCGATGGGATTGACCGGCCCGCCTTTCGCACCGAATTCAGAGGAGGAGTTCAGGGTCGAAATAAGAGGAAGCAGCTTTAAAACTCGGACATCCTGTTGACAGCTGAGAAATATAAATCCAGCCAAGACATCAGTGAAAAGTTGGGAGGAAAGAAAAAAGAAAAAAAAAAATCCGGAACCCGGATGTGGAGCTTGGTCAGGAGCCTCACTGCTGTCGGCAGCCTTCTTTCTTGTTGCTGGATTTCGGGCAGCCCACCTTGTCTGGCTGTCGTTTGGTCGGGGAGACAAAGACGGGGGCTGCCACCCCCTGCGGGTAGTCGAAGGAGCTGTCCGTCTGGGCCAGCGGTCCTGGGCTGGGTGCTACGAGAAAGTAAAATAAAATATAAAATATAAAATAAAATAAAAGGGAATGTTAGCAGGACACGAGAATCTCTTCTTCCCCCTAAACCCTCTTGTCTCTCCAGCTCTCAAAAATTATTTTTCTTAAAAGTTATTTTCCAGGCTGTGTTAGACATAATGCAGGGGGTTGGACTAGAAGAGGGTTGGACTAGAAGACCTCTAAGATCCCTTCCAGCTTCTATACTATTCTATTCTGTTCTATTCTGTTCTATATTCTATATTCTATATTCTATATTCTATACTCTATATTCTATACTCTATATTCTATTTTCTATCTTCTATCCTATCCTATCCTATCCTATCCTATCCTATCCTATCCTATCCTATCCTATCCTATCCTATCCTATCCTATCCTATCCTATCCTATAGTCTGTTCTGTTCTGTTCTGTTCTGTTCTGTTCTATATTCTATTCTATTCTATTCTATTCTATTCTATTCTATTCTATTCTATTCTATTCTATTCTATTCTATTCTATTCTATTCTATTCTAATTCTATTCTATTCTCTATCCTAGCCTACATTCTATTCTATTCTGTTCTATTCTATATTCTATATTATTTTATTCTATTGTATTCTATTCTATTCTATTCCATTCCATTCCATTCCATTCCATTCCATTCCATTCCATTCTATTCTATTCTATTCCATTCCATTCCATTCCATTCCATTTCATTCTCTCTTCTCTTCTCTTCTCTTCTCTTCTCTTCTCTTCTCTTCTCTTCTCTTCTCTTCTCTTCTCCTCTTTTCTACTCTACTCTACATTCTATTTTATTTGGGGATCTATCTAAGTTCAACGGGACTGCCTCCGATATAAATAGGAATTCAATGGTTCCTGTGCTGTTCTTACCTTTCGAACCCAGATCCATCACATCAGAAGGCGTTCCCATTTTAGCGGCTTGAAAAGTGGGATCCAGAACTTCAGCGATATTTTGGCAAAACTGTGGCCTAAGTAAAAAAAAAAAAAAAAAAAAATTTTAAAAAAAAGTGTTAAAAAAAAAAAAAAAAAAAAAAAAAAAGACTATAAGACGTGTTTAAAAAATTCTCTAGTTGTTGCTTTAAGAAGAATAGAATAAAATAGAATAGAATAGAATAGAATAGAAATAGAATAGAAATAGAAATAGAAATAGAAAAGAAATAGAATAGAATAGAATTAGAATAATAGAAAAAGAATAATAGAAATAGAATAATAATAGAATAATAGAAAGAGAATAGAAATAGAAATACAATAGAATAGCATAATAGAAATAGAATGGAATAATAGAAATAGAATTATAATAGAATAATAATAGAAAAGAAGAGAATATAGAAGAGAATAATAGAAATAGAATAGAAATAAAACAGAATAGAATTAGAATAACAGAATAATAATAGAATAATAGAAATAGAATAGAAATAGAAATAGAATAGAAAGAATAATATAGAATAATAATAGAATATAGAATAATAGAAATAGAAATAGAACAGAATAGAATTAGAATAAATAAATTCTAAAATAGATTCTAAAATAGAACAGAAATAGAATAATAATAGAATAGAATAATAGAAGTAGAATAATAATAGAATAGAATAATAATAGAATAGAAATAGAATAGAATAGCATAATAGAAAATAGAATAGAAATAGAATAATAATAGAAGATAGAATAGAATAGAAATAGAATAATAGTAGAAAGAAGAGAATATAGAAGAGAATAATAGAAATAGAATAGAAATAGAAATAGAATAGAAAGAATAATAGAAATAGAATAATAATAGAATATAGAATAGAATAATAGAAATAGAATAATAATAGAATAATAATAGAATAGAAATAGAATAGAATAGCATAATAGAAATAGAATAGAAATAGAATAATAATAGAATATAGAATAGAATACAAATAGAATAATGTAGAAGAGAAGAGAATATAGAAGAGAATAATAGAAATAGAATAGAATTAGAATAGAATTAGAATAATAATAGAATAGAATAATAGTAGCATAGCATAGGATAAAACAGAACAAGAACAGAATAGCACTTCAGAGTCCTTTTACAGCCCTCTCTAAGCGGTTTACAGAATCAGCCTTTTGTCCCCAACCACCTGGGTCCTCATTTTACCGACCTCGGATGGACGGAAAGTTCTGAATCAACTTTGAGCCGGTCAGGATCGGACACCTGGCTCTGGGCAGAGTCAGCCTGCCATCCTTGCCTCCCTGACCCCTGCGCCGCGCCACATATTTCGGCCTCCCCACATTTATTTCCTAACTCTGGGATTAAAGCAGCCCGTCCACCGGACGCAGCACTGACTTCTTGTCGACGGACGTTCCTTTCATCGTCCCATCGGTGTCCTCTTGGATCTGGATTCTCAGCAGGGCTGGACTTCTGCCACTCGGCCACGAGTCCTTCTGGAAAAAAAGACAAGGCTTGGAAACATCTAGAGTCCCAGGGCTCTGCAACCTTAAAACACTCAAGGAGCCATTTGGACTCGTTTCCCACAGAAAAGAAAACTCCGGGAGCCACAAAACCTGGGTGGGCGGGGCCAACTCGACGTCACTCACTTCCACCAGTCACATGATCCCCCTGCCCCCTAGCCACGCCTACCCAGCTGGTCATTAGGGCAGAGAACTGGTTGTTAAAAAAAACACCGGGAACCACAAAACCAGGGGTGAAAATGCTCCCGGTTCGGACCGGTTCAGTCGATCCGGTAGTGATCATGCGGGAGGTTCGGAGAACCGGTAGCGATGGCGAACGCGAGGCTCCGCCCCCACCCACTCCAGTTGTCGTTACTTCCAGGTTTTAACCAGGAAGTAATGTACATGCGCAGGGGGTTGGACTAGAAGACCTCCAGGGTCCCTTCTGCCCTGTTATTAACAATAGCTAGAGGTTGGGTGGAGAACGTGCCCCAGATGTCACAGCAATGCAGCTTACTTCTGGATTGCAGTGGCTTTGTCCCTCGGGGCGCCCGGGGGGCTCATCCTGCTGCCTTTCCTGGTGTGGGGAGCCCCACTGGGTGTGGAGTTCCTTGTCTTGTAGGTAGCGTGCAATTTCCTAGTGGGGGGAGAGCCAAAAGGAGGGCAAAATTATTATTATTATTAATTATTTTCATTTCCCCATTGTCAAAAGCTGGCTGGGATAGTCACAAATGGCCACTACGTGTCACACGATGACTTGATGGGGGCAGGGAATACGGTGGCAATTGTTAAATCCAATGAGCGGTTTTTGGTTCCTTCCCCACCCCCCGCCACCACCGTAACTTCAAACGGTTGCTAAACGGATGTCCGTAAGTCAAGAACGAACCGCTAAGTTGGGGTTACAAGGAGGGGGAATCTCCAATTGGATGTAGCCGTAACATCAGAGCCGTAGGACAGGGGAACTCCGGAAAGACAACAGGGTATCACGGGATGAGTTCAGAGAGAGAGGCTTCGTACCGTTTTTGCCGGCCACTCACCTCATCCTGGGCTACCTGAGCCGCCCGGTAATCGTCATCTTGCTCCCGGTTCCTCTTGGCTCTCTGCAGAAGGAAGAAAGCGTTAGGTCAAAGGGGTCCAGAGAGATATCCTCCTCACCAGCAGATTAATCTTGGAACAGTGCAAATAAACGGGTCTATGACAACTCCCCATGGCCAACTCTCCATGGCCAACCATGGCCAACTCTCCATGGGCCAACTCTCCATGGCTAACTATGGCCAACTCTCCATGGCCAACCATGGCCAACTCTCCATGGCTAACTATGGCCAACTCTCCATGGCCAACCATGGCCAACTCTCCATGAACAACCCTCCATGGCCAGCTATGGCGAGCTCTCCATGGCCAACCATGGCCAACTCTCCATGGCCAACTCTTCATGGCCAACCATAGCCAGCTCCCCATGGCCAACTCTCCATGGCCAACCATGGCCAACTCTCCATGGCCAACTCTCCATGGCTAACTATGGACAACTCTCCATGGTCAACCCTGGCCAACTCTCCATGGCCAACTCTTCATGGCCAACCATAGCCAGCTCCCCATGGCCAACTCTCCATGGCCAACCATGGCCAACTCTCCTGGCCAACTCTCCATGGCTAACTATGGACAACTCTCCATGGTCAACCATGGCCAACTCTCCAGGGTCCATTTGCCATGGGACAAGAGTTACACTAATATCAAAGAAATAGCGGAATAGAATATTTCAAGAAAGGGTGCCAAAGAAGGGACAAAATGAAAGGGGAGTGACAAACATTAAAATATTTTTTTTTAATTATTTAAAGCAATCAAACTAAATAGTTGCGTTGTCCTGGCAATGGGTGGCCTGTGGCGGAGTTGGCCCAATGAACAGGGTGGCCTGCCATGAAGCAGAAGAGGGTCACCCCAAGATAGACGTGGGGCCCACGGCCACCCCTTTTTCCCCCCTCTCTCCCTTTTTCTGCTCTCGTTGGCTGGAGACGACCCTGGTTTTAAGACGCTGGAATTTCTAAGGGGCAGGATGGTGTTCCCTGGTTGCCCTGGCATTCGTTTTGAGATCAGCAGGGTTGGGAACATACGATGCGTGTTTGCTCCTCCTCTTCCTCCTCTTGCAGCTTCCGAGCCAGTTCCTCGTCTTCCTGGAACTGCTGTTGGATCTGGAGCTCCAGTCTGGCCATCTCCCAATGCAGGACTTCAGGGATGCCATCTGAAGACACCAGGCAAAAGACGGATGAAGGAAAACTTGGATAGAATAGAAGCGGAAGGGACCTTGGAGGTCTTCTAGTCCAACCCCCTGCTCAAGCAAGAGACACTTCCGTAATAACAGAATAACGGAAGGGACCTTGAAGGTCATTTAGTCCAACCCCCTGCTCAGTCAGGAAACCCTAGACTATTTCAGACAAATGTCTCCGTTTTACGAAGCCCTCAAAGCAAAGACCAAGAGCAGGTCTCAAACTCTCCACTTGACGTCCAGATGTGTTAAGTCCCACACACGGCATGGTGGCTGTGATGTCCAACACAACTAGAATACACAACGGAGGCACTCTGGACCTAGGTGGCCCCTTACCTCTTGTCCCACGCGAGGGCCTTTGCTTCAGCTGACCGCTCTCGTCCTTTTCCAGGTTCTGGAACCGCTTGACCCTCTCCTGGGTGGGAGAAACAAAACAAAGAAACAAATCTCCTGAGATGCTATCCTTCATGAGAACTAGAGCCTTGCTTGCTCGGATCTCTCTTCCTTCTGCTACCCCTCCCTTCCTTTGAGCTTCTGCCCTCCTTCTTTTCAGCCTTGCTCAACAAACCGACCACAAACCAAGGAGAAACCTTCATTAAACCATGATGGTGGATTTTTGTCGCAGGAATATCGGAAAAGCTCACAGAATCTTTCAGCCAACACAACATACGGGCACCCAAGAATACCCTAAGGCAGAAGCTTGCCCACCCCAAGGATAAAACACCCAGACGCGAACGGAGCAACGTGGTTATATGCAGTACAGTGCAGCGAGATACGTGCAGATCGGTACATTGGGGAAACAAAACAACCACTTCACCTACGCATGGCGCAACATGGGAGAACATACCCATCAGGAGAAGATTCTTCAGTCCATCTGCATTTAATAGACAAAGGCTGCTCTTTTAAAGACAGCAAAGTCCACATTTTGGGAAGAGAGGACCGCGGGGGTTTGAAAGAGGGGTCCGAGAGGACATCTGTGTCCAAATTGAATCGTCCTCTCTCAACAGGCTATTCGGGGCCTTGAATCATCTTAGTTGCTGTTCTCTGCACTTCGTTTCCAAAGCCTCAACGTAAATTTGAGAACTTGTTCTCCCTGTCAACTTGGTTGGAACAAGATAAAACGCTCATATTTATATTTTTATAATTATATTTTTTAGCATTTTATTCCCCCTTTTTAATGGGATTTCTAACCGGAAGAGAGGGTAGCTCTCCGAATGCCACAGGCGGTGAGAAAGCAATACAGGTCAGTCCTCGAATTACGACCCACAATTGAGCCCGACATTTCTGTTCCTGAGTTGAAACATTTGTTAAGTGAGTTTCCCTCCCCCCACATTTTACGGCCTTCCTTGCCACCGTTGTTAAGCGAATCAACACAGTTCTTAAGCTAATCACAGGGTCATTAAGCAAATCTGGCTTTTCCCCCTTGACTTTGCTTGTCAGAAGGTTGCAAAAGGGGATTACGGGGCACTGAAACCGTCGTAAATATGAGTCATAAAATTTTGATCGCGCGACCATGCTACAGAGGTCGTAAGTGGGGGAAAAAAGTTCTATAAGTCACCTTCTTCCGGGCCGAACAGTCACTAAACGAACCGTTGTAACTCAAGAACTACCTGTAGAAGATCCGAGTCTTCTTCCGCCAACAAAAATAATGTCTTTTCGACGTACTCTTTTTCACACTTTTTCCAAAGTCTCAACCTCTTTCTTTCTTTTTTTTTTTGATAACGCGGTGACCCAAACTGGATGCGGCATTCCAGGCGTGGCCTTACTAAGGCTTTACACAGAGGTTACTAACACGTCCCGTGATTTTGATTCTGGGCCTCTGTTTATACAAAACCAAGGATCGTATTATGCAACGATCCTTGGTATTATACACGAGGATTGTATAACTTTTTGTGGTGTTTATTTGAAATCGTTAAACGGTCCCGTAGCGAGTTCTCCCCATGGTCAGTTGGACGCGGCGAGTTATCCCACGGGCCTCTCTCAGCCCGTGGGAGGAAAGGATGAATGCCACCAATTGTTTCTGGTGTATTCTCTCTCCAACATTGATATCTGGGCGCCAGAAGCGTTCCCCGGGGGGTGGACGACCGAATGCATTTGCCGAACAGAATCCCCCCCCCTTGTTACGACTGACCAAATCTTGAGCGAAGAACAAGCAACGTGAAGTCATGTTATTCTCGCGTTTCGCTTCTCAATGTGCCGGAACTGGATTTCAATTATGCCTGATAGGCGAGGCAAGGATTTGGATCGGACTCAAAATTACCAGCGGGGAGAAAAGCAGCGAGCTACGGCTCTCGCAAGCTACGACAAAGGACGAATTTCCCTGACGGTGAGAACCATGAGAGCCAGCGGAACGGCTGGCCACCAGAAGCTGTGGGTGCTTCAACACGGGAGGGTTTGAAAGAAGAGATTGGGCAGCCGTTTGTCTGAAACGATTTAAGGTCTCTCCTTCTCGAGCAGAGGGATGGACTAGAAGACCTCCAAGGCCCCTTCCAACCATGGGATTCTATGATTCTGAGATAAATAAATAAGATACATGATGGGTGGGTGGATGGATGGATGGATGGATGGATGGAAAGGAAGGAAGGAGGGAGGGAAGGAAGGAAGGAAGGAAGGAAGGAAGGAAGGAAGGAAGGAAGGAAGGCCTCCAGAATGATACAGGGTCTCCTGTTTGAGCAGGGGGTTGGACTAGATGACCTCCAAGGCCCCTTTCAGGCCTGCGATTCTAGGTTCTGTGTTTCTATGATTCTAAGCTTTTGGTTATTCATAGCAAGCCGGTTGCAGGATCGGACCTCCCCAGTAAGGAGCATTGGGTGGAAACTAATCAGGGAGAGAAGCAACCTGGAATTAAGGAGAAACTTCCTGACAGTCAGGACAATCAACCAGTGGAACTCCTTGCCACCAGAAGTTGTGGCTGCTCCATCCCTGGAGGTTTTCAAGAAGAGACCGGACACTCACCTGTCTGGAAATGGCCTTAGGTACAGGGTCTGGGATTATCAAGGAAAATCAGTGATAGCAGTGTTCCAATATTTAAGGGGTTTTGTTACGGAGAAGCAGCAAAATTCAGTTAACCATTGTTTTTCGCTTAGCGACAGAAATTTCAGGCTCCGCTGTGGGCGTAAGTCGAGGACCATCCGAAAAGCACCCCCCAAAAAATCTTATTGGCCCCTCCGACCTCCAGAAACACAAAAGGATCGTTTGCGAAGAGAGTCAAAAGTTAGCCACGGCAATTTGTCCTGGGAATTTCATGGGATTTCCTACCTGCTCTTTTGACTTCTTCTTCTTCTTCCGGTCAGCTTTTCCTGGTTTCATCTGGAGATCTTTAGGATCTTGAGTCACCTGGGCGTCTTTAGGATCTCCCTCCGGGCTACAGGTGGACAGAGGAAGAGGCAGTTAGAACAGCAATTCTGGCTTTCTTGAATAACAGAATTAGCAGAATCACAGAAGGGACCTTGGAGGTCTTCTAGTCTGCTCAGGTAGGAGACCCTCAACCATTTCCTTCCATCCATCCATCCATCCATCCATCCATCCATCCATCCATCCATCCATCCATCTACCTTGGAGGTATTCTAGTCCAAACTTCTGCTCAAGCAGGAGATCCTAGACCATTTCCATCCATCCATCCATCCATGAATCCATCCATCCATCTATCCATCCGAATAGAGCTGGAAGGGATCTTGGAGGTCTTGGAGCAGGGTTGGACTAGATGACCTAAGGGTCCCTTCCAGCCCTGGATTATCCTCTGAAGTTGCATCTAGTACCAGTTTTGTAGTCCTTCCTTCCTCTCCTCTCCTCTTTCTTTCTTTCTTTCTTTCTTTCTTTCTTTCTTTCTTTCTTTCTTTCTTTCCTTCCTTCCTTCCTTCCTTCCTTCCTTCCTTCCTTCCTTCCTTCCTTCCTTTCCTTCCTTCCTTCCTTTTCTTCCTTCCTTCCTTCCTTTCCTTTTCTTCCTTCCTTCCTTCCTTTTCTTCCTTTCCTTCCTTCCTTTCCTTCCTTCCTTCCCTTCCTTCCCTCCCTCCCTCCTTTCTTTCTCTCTCTTTCTCTCTCTCTTTTTCTTTCAAAAACATACCCCCCACCCCCCCGTTTTTTGGCCTTGCAGGCTTCAGGGAAGCCTGCTGGGAGCAAAAATGTACCCCACCCCACCCCGCCCTCGTGAAAAAAAATGATGATCGTGCGCCACAACTGTGATTCTCAGAGCCTTTTATTTTACCTTTTAAAAGTGTTTTTTTTTTTTTTTACTACCGGCTCTGGCGAATAGTCAAAAAATGCTTTTTTAAAAAAAAAGGCTCCGAGGTCCAACTCTGTTATTCTGTTATTATGGATAGGGTCTCCTACTTGACCGGGGGGTGGGGTGGACTAGATGACCTCCAAGGTCCCTTCCGACTCTGTTATTCTCAAAGCCGTCCTCCACTGCAACCTTTGCATTGGGCCAAGGAGACGAGGCAGGAAGTGTTCAAAAGCCACGGAGGTCCGTAGGTCAGTCTCTTGGGTCTCTTCACACACCCCTCTACTCCCCCATCCTGCAAACCAGCTTCCTGAGCCCAAGAGAGAAGGGAGAGAGGAAGCTTCCTACCTTCCTTTCGGAGGTGGCCTGTTGTCCTGAAGCTTTTGGGCTTCCACCTCCTGGTTCTGAAGCCTCTTGGCCATGCGGTGGTCATTCTGGACCAGCTGGTTCTTCTGGATATTGGAAGCGTAGTGCAGCTCGACTGAGGGAGAGGAAAGAAGGAAGGCTCAAGGAGAAGCAGAGGAGGGGAAAAGACCGTCCCCAGAAGCACGAAGCCGAGTCCTCAATGGCTCAGGTGTGGGACACGTCAGGTGAGGGTCTTGGGATGGGTAGGTCATGTCAGGTGAAGGTCCTGTGAGGGATCAGGTGAGGGTCTTGGGATGGGTCAGGTAAGGGTCACATCAGGTGAAGGAGTCTTGGGATGGGTCAGAGGTGGGACATGCCAGGTGAGGATCTGGAGATGGGTCTTGGGATGGGTTGGTCATGTTAGGGGAGGGTCATTTCAGGTGAGCCTTTGGAGATGGGTCCTGCGATGGCTCAGGTGTGGGACACGTCAGGTGAGGGTCTTGGGATGGGTCGGGATGGGTCAGGTGAGGGTCACATCAGGGGAAGGTTTTGGGATGAGATTTAGGGTGGGTAGGTCATGTCAGGTGAGGGGTCTTGCGAGGGATCAGGTGAAGGCCTTGTGATGGGTCAGGTGAGGGTCACATCAAGTGAGGCATTTTAGGATGGATCAGATGTGGGCGTGTCAAGTGAGAGTCTTCTAACAGGACTTGTGGTGGGGAGGTCACATCAAGTGAGGGTCATTGGGAGGGGAAGTGCTGGTTGGGGGGCGAGAGTTGCGTGGCTTGGTTGAGGGTCGGTGCCATCGCTGCTTGGCTGTGCGGCGGGTTCGAATTCTGAGGCTGTTTCGTAGACCGAAGAGGGCCACTTCTCTCTGCTGGCTAGAAAGGGGGGTGGGGAAGCCCCCTGCCTACCCTGTTTCCCCGAAAATAAGACCCCAATCGGAAAATAAGCCCTAGCATGATTTTTCAGGATGCTCGTACTATAAGCCCTACCCCCAAAATAAGCCCCAGTTAAGATTGTCAGCCAGATGGATGCATTTATTACCGTATTTCCCCCAAAATAAGACCCAACCAGAAAATAAATCCTAGCATGATTTTTCAGGATGCTCGTAATATAAGCCCTACCCCCAAAATAAGCCCCAATTAAAATTGTCAGCCAGATGGATGCATTTAGTACCGTATTTCATCCAAAATAAGACCTAACTAGAAAATAAGCCCTAATGCCTCTTTTGGAGCAAAAATTAATATATTTTTTATATTTTTATATTTTTATGCGTCTTATCTTGCGGGGAAACACAGCATCTGTTGGGCAGCCATTCGTGCCCCCCGGAAGGAGCGAATGCCCTCGTTTTTCTCCGCCATTCCTGGCTCAGCCGAGAGTCGCTGAAGCTTAGAGGACTCCTTCCCTTGCCCTGAACTCCCAAGCCATTAATCCCCAGCCAGACAGTCGGGGTGGGTGTGTGATGGGTTGAGGAGAAAGAGACTCAAAGAACTTGGACGGCTTTGGATGTTGTCATCCGAAGGGCCTTTTTTGACGTCACGGGATGATTCACGAGCGCGGAAGGGCGACAGGTGGGTTACGCGAAGGACAGTCCTTGGCACCCGCTGCCAAGATAGCGGCAACCTTGAGAGCGGGCCCTTAAAATGCCATCTCATCTGGCAAGGGCCGGATCCCTTGTAAACCTGTCTGCACGGCGGATTCCCTGAGGCGATCGGACTCCATCTCGTTAATTGAAAAGGCGGACGGTGCCAGACACACAAACACACATACACAAAGCCTCCAGAAAAATCACCCACATCAAGCTCATTCGTGCAGCCGAGACGGGCGCACCGATGGGAAGGGGGTCGTCCGAAGACTTGGAGGGAGGGGGGGTGTTAAATGCTGGGGGGGGATGCGCACCTCACAACGGGAAGGAGACAACTTGACAACTCAACCCAGGGCGCAACTCGCTGCGGGACCAGTCAACCGTTCGATTTTGTGATCGTTAAAACGTGGTTTTAATTTTTGTCGTTCGTGGTTCCTTTTTTTTTTCCCCTCCCTTCTTTGTAGGGGTGAAATCCAGCAGGTTCTGTAGAACCGGTAGCGGAAATTTTGAGTAGTTCGGAAAACCGGCAAATACCACCTCTGGCTGGCCCCCGAGTGGGGTGGGAATGGGGATTTTGCAGTATCTTTCCCCTGCCATTACTTGAATCCCACTGCTGGACTGGACCCACCATTGCTCTGAAATTCCTGCCCGAGTAGGGGGTTGGACTAGAAGACCTCCAAGGTCCCTTCCAACTCTTTTATTCTATCCTATCCTTTCTTTAAATGATTCTATTCCACAATTACTTTAGATATTAGTGGAACTCTTGTCCTGTGGCGAGTTGGCACAGCAACTTAGCCGCGACGAGTTGTCGTAGACCCTCACTCACAATTTCGGAGACCCCGCCCGGCCCATTCCCCAAATCCCCGTCCTTACTCTCTTGCTCTTGTAGACAATAGGCCAACGCACCGTCTTCTAGAACAGCGAAGTCTCGGCAAACTGCAGGAGGAAAAACAGGAAAAACACATAAAAAACGGAGGATTTTGCAAATCGTCCCTATTACTAACGTCGGTTAAAAACCGAGATTCCCCCCAGAATCCTTCCCTCATCGTCATCCAGTAATCCAGTCTTTCCTAACCCGGGGTGGTTGCTTTGAGAGGGGTGGACTACAAAACCCAGAATCCACATGAAATTTGGTCTTGTTGGAAACAGGGCCCCTTGTTTGACTCTTGTCAAGATCTTTTTTGGCTCCTGGGGTGTTTTTTTGGCTATTCCTGATGTTTATGACAGATGTTTGCGGACTTTATCGGATGGCGTGTAGCTCGGCCCAGTTTTCAATGAAAAGGCGTTACACGTTTTTTTCCCCATTTGAACGGAGAGGAAAAACAGATTTAACGTTGTAAAAACAAGCATTATTTGGGTAATTGCTAACGGACACCCCTGGTCACTATTTCTCCGTCCTCCATGAACCCAAAGTTGGCAGATCCCACCAAGGATCCCCACCCCTTGAGCCCATTTCTTTCTTTTTGTGGTTTCCCCCACACTTCAACATCCCCCCCTCCCACCTTTTCACGGACCCCCCGTTCAATCTACGGGAGAGGTTTCTTGGCATTGTGTGCTCTTCCCTGCTTTCCAAATTCACATTTATTCCATATCTCCTGTCAGAAGGCTCCATCCTTCTTCCTCTGTGTTTTCCCTTCATCCTTCTTCCTGTCTTTTTCTTCATCCTTCTCATCTTATTTTCATCCTTCTTCCTGTCTTTTCTTCATCCTTCTTATGTTTTTCTTTATCCTTCTTCGTATGTTTTTCTTCTTATCTTTTCTTCATCCTTCTTATGTTTTTCTTTATCCTTCTTTGTATGTTTTTCTTCTTATCTTTTCTTCATCCTTCTTCCTGTCTTTTCTTCATCCTTCTTATGTTTTTCTTTATCCTTCTTCGTATGTTTTTCTTCTAATCTTTTTTCATCCTTCTTCCTGTCTTTTCTTCATCCTTCTTATGTTTTTCTTTATCCTTCTTCGTATGTTTTTCTTCTTATCTTTTTTCATCCTTCTTCCTGTCTTTTCTTCATCCTTCTTACGTTTTTCTTTATCCTTCTTCGTATGTTTTTCTTCTTATCTTTTTTTCATCCTTCTTCCTATGGTCTGTGGTCTAGAGTCTCCAACTCGAGCAGGGGGTTGGACTAGATGACCTCTAAGGTCCTTCTAACTCTATTCTGATTGATTGATTGATTGATTGATTGATTGAAATGGTCTAGGGTATCCTGTTTGAGCAGGGGGTTGGACTAGAAGACCTCCAAGGTCCCTTCCAGCTCTATTCTGATTGATTGATTGATTGATCTTGGCCCCAAAGTTATCGGCCCTCTCCCTCACCCTGAGCTGAAGTCAGACTGTGTGGGCACAGCTCACTTTTAACAACCACTTCGCTTAGCCACAGAAATTCCGGCCATATGTTGAGGACTACCTACACTCCCGGATTGTCTACTTTTTAACCTTTGTAAAAAGCACCAGTGGAAACTCTTTGCCGAACTCCGGGAATGTTCAAAGTTTGGATAACGGAGGAAAAAAATCTTAATGCCTCGTTGCACCAAGAACATCCCCGAGGGAAGTAGGGATCCAAGAAACTGCAGTGCCAAATTTGCCACCGAATGCATTTGGGACGGCCATAATAATCTCAATCTCCACGCAATTTGGAATTTTGGAGCCTCGACAAATTCCCTGTTCCAAAGAATGTGTGTATGAAGGAGAAGCATCAAAGCCTCGAGCTTGGAAAGGCAACTCCAGACATGTCCAAGATTTCCCAACAGGAATTTAAATTCGAGAACTTGTTCTCCCTGCCGGCTTGGTTGGAGCGGATAAAACGCTTGTGTTTTATAATTATATATATATATTTTTAGCACTTATTCCCATTTTTAATGGGATTTCTAACCGGAAGAGACCGTAGATCTCCAAATGTCACAGACGATGAGTAAGCAATCCGGGTCAGTCCTCGAATTACGACTCAGAAAGTTGAGCCCCACCTTTCTGTTCCTGGGTTGAAACGTTTGTTCGGTGAGTTTTGATCCGTTTTGGGGCCTTTCCTTGCCACCGTCGTTAAGCGAATCAGCGCAGTTCATAAGCTGGTCAGAGGGTCGTTAAGCGAATCCGTCTTTTCCCTTTGACGTTGCTTGTGGGAAGGTTGCAAAAGGGAATATTACAGGGACATTGTAACTGTCATAAATATGAGTCAGTTGCCAAATGGTTAAATTTTAATCCCGTCACCATGCTGGAAAGGTCGTAAGTGTGAAAAAAGGGCCTATAAGTCACCTTCTTCAGGGCCGTTGCAACTTTGAACAGTCACTAAATTAACTTGTTGTAACTCAAGGACTACCTGTAGAAGATCGGAGTCTTTTTCTGCCAACAAAAATAATGTGTTTCGACTTTCACGCTTTTACAAAAGTCTCAATGTCTTTTTTTGTAATGTGGGGACTAAAACTGGATGCAGTTAATATTCCAGATGTGGCCTTACTAAGGATTTACCAAGCGGTACTTACACCTCACCTGATTTTGATTCTATGCTTCTGTTTATGCAACCGAGGATCATATTGGCTTTTTTGGCTGCTGCTGCACACGGCTGGCTCATGTTTAAGGGTTCGTCTAGAAGGACTCTTAAGATCCCTTTCACCGTGACGGTTTTTGAGCCAGATTTCTCCTAATCTGGACTCCTCCCTTTGCTTTATTTTATTTTTTTCCTGCCCAGGTGTAAAACCTTTCTTTTACAAATGAATGGTTGTTAAGTCAAGGACTCGGTATA